TGTCTTCAAATGCTGTTATTTTTCCTGATTCGTTTGTCATACAAAAAAAAAAAATGTTGCTCACCAACAATTCAGTTAAATAAAATATGTCGACTGCCGTGCAGTGTTCTGCATCTTGCAGACATGTGATGGTCATAATGGTGGGCTGCTGCTTTTCTAAAGTTGGGAACATCGGGCGACACTGACCTTCGAGGATAACAGCCCTTTGGAGTACAGACAGCTCAGCTGGCATGAAGCAGGAACGCCGCGGATGTTTTTGGACATGCTGAGGAAATTGAAGCCTTGGACACGGTGACACACCATCGATGCCTGCGGGTGAGGAGAGACCTTGGGGACAGGTGGCAGGAGGACAAAAAGAGATATTTTGAATATAATTCACCTGTCTCAGCAGGTGTCCCAAAAAGGTTACACTCCATCCAACACCCAGATCTGGACAAACAATGGAGAGAATTCAATGGCCCTTTGTGATTCTTGTCTCTGTCAGCAATAATCTCTCTTAATAACAGCTTTATACATCTTACTGAGCACCTTCCCTCTTCCTGAGCACAAGCATCTGTGTACCACCAAATATACTTATACTTCCCACTAGGAAACTGAACTGCTTGTCTCTAAGAACCAAGCTGAGGGAATGTGTGGTGTGTGGTGTGTGGGGTGTGTGTGTGTGTGTGTGTGTGTGCCTGCAGCCCCTCAGAGAGAGGCCACAATTGTTAGTATGGGTCTTTCCGACCTAGTTTTACAAGGTCTAGACAGCTTGGCTGACTGCAGCTCTGATTTTGTAAAACAGAATGATTTGCAAAGATCTGGGCCAGGAGAGGGTACATCTGGGAAGTGGCTGTGATCTCAGAACAAGAAAGGGAGCAGATGCTGAGGTATCCTGAAATCTACAGCAAAATCGAGGGTTGAGGGCAACCAGAATTTAGAGTTCCTGATGGGGCCACGGAGTTAATCAGGGTCAAGAGGGAACCAAGTGTCAGGGAACCAAGAACGCTCCACATGTACGTGATTCTATGTGAATGTGAAAAATAAAAGGTCTTCAGAGGAGGCCTAGTTAGCGCCTTAAATTTGAAATTACACTAAGTGACTTAAAACTGGATTGTTGCTAAAATTCCTTTGTTGCAACTATTCCAAACGCCAATGCACTATTTCAGGGGTTTTAATGCATGTTAAACTGATAAGGAGATGGTATGACTGCTTAGATGAGTGTTCTCAACCCTGGTTTTTTTATTAGAGTTTTTAGAAAATCTGATGCTTGGTCCTCACTCCAAAACAAATGAATCAGAATCTCTGGGTGAGTGATTCAGGAGTGGGTGGTTTTTCAAAGCTTTCTAGGTCATTCTAATGTGAATCTAAGGTTGGGAACCACTGGCTTAGGCTGAGATAGGCAAAAGATACACACAGGAACCAGAGAAAGAGTTGTGGTTGAGAGGCTGTGATTCCTGGGCATAACCTCAGACAAGGAAAGCTTCCTTGTGTCCATGCTTGGATAGTGCTGGAACATAAAAGCACCAGATGATATGTTAGTATGTTTCAGAGTTGGCAATAGTGAGTTTAACTTGTGATTACAAGCCAGAAACCAAACTTTGTATACCTCAAAACATAAGTAGGACCAGACAAAGCAGTGGGTGAATAATATATTTACTTGTGTGTTTCAGTCAAGGATCAAGTATTCCCAGAATAGAAATGCACTCAAGGTGGCTCAGTATTATAAAGGTTTGTGGTAGAGACACAAATAGCAATTTCAAGGCATCCAGGGACCTGGACTTCCAGGGTCGGGAACCAGATACTCAGGTACTGATGTCATTCCCTCCACCTCTCAGTCATTTGATCCTTCATCTCTGTTCTTCTCTCCGATCTGCTTCATTCTTTCACCACAACTTGCTTCCTCTGGTTACTCCTTTCACACAAGACTCAACAGAATGCTCCAGCCCTAATTTATCATAATCTTGCAGGTCCAGAATCCAACACTGACTGACCATTGTCACAATGTCTCTTAGTTCAACTTTTCAAGAAGGGGAATTTGGTCATCAGCAAAGGATGACTGATCTTGTCTAGCCTTGGGTTGGGTGTCAATCTCCTCCAAAGTCCTAGGCTTGGGATAGAAAATGTCATATGGTTCATAGGCTGAACCATAGTAGAACGTTCTAGGAGACCACTGGAAAGTTAGGTACTTGTGAGGAGCTGTGGGCAGAGCAGGCAATGAAATCCATCTAATATTCATCCATAACCAATGAACCACACACCTTTCTTCTCTCTCATCTCCTGCCTCCCTTGAATATATGGGCACGGGGGAGTAAGGAAGAGTCTGAAAGCATGTGCCCTGTCTGTTCTCAGGATCCAGTCTAGCATCTGAGAGAGGTAATCACAGACTGGCATGATGCAAAGACAGTCTAAAAACCCTAGACTGACATGATTCTACATGTGTTGTCCTCCTGAAACCATTGAAACATCCATTCTTGACTATGGGGAAAGCCTAAGAATGTCCAAAACACAGGATCTCTGCTTGTTCAGTTTTAATCCCACACTTTCTACTGCATTGTCCCATGTAAAAATGTAACAGATTTAGACATTAGGCAAGATTCTCCTCCCGTTGGGCCTTTATTTGGAAAATGTGAGATTAACATGTTATTACAGTGGTTTGACAGTTCACTTGAGAGCTCTGAAAATAACATTCTTGGTTTTTAAATGACAATCTTTTACTGAAATTCAAGTGGCTCTATTCAGAAACTTCAGCCAATTTGGGGGTCATGAAAATGGTGGTGTGTGAATTTTATAAATTGTCCAAATGGAGATATTGTGTGTAAACTCAATTTATGGTCCATCGCTGGCTAGTACATCAAAGAATTGAATAGTTCTATGTTCTCCATCTTTCCCCCAGTTAAATTCAGCTGCATTGAGGCAGGAGGGAAGCAATAGTCTGGACTTGGGGGCCATGTTTAGAGGGAGCCTCTAGACAGTCTGAGTATATGTTTTTTCCTTTTTTGACCCCGGGAGCTAAAGGCAAAGTGAAGCCAGGAAGGGGTGGGGGGAGATCCAGGGAGGAGTGGAGGAAGGACCAATAACAAATGTCTATTTTCACTTTGCCCAGACCATGTGGCCCCTGAAAATCATGGCTGTGGCCTCAGTACTATGCCATCATGCCGATGTGCAATCATTTATTTTAGAGCCTTAGATGGAGCCAACTATTTTAGCTTTTGCCCAAGTGCAACAATCAAAGATTCTGGATGATTAAAAAAGAAGAAGCCTAACATTTGTATTTTACTAACAAAGCACCTTTAAACCAAAAAGGATTATTTATCTGGGCTGAAAATAAAACTCCTGCCTCCTGAAGTCTGGTGCGGCTGAGTTATCACTATTTTTGTCCTGTAATTTATTTTATAGGGTACTAATTAACAGGGCAAAGTCTGTTGTCAGGAAAGAAAATCACATTTTGCTGTTTTCTTATTTTCTAACAAGACACAGACCTGGTCTTTAATTAAAGAGCAAGTTCCAAGGGCACTTTCCAGCTGCTGAAATTGTGAAACATTGGGCTGGGAAGATCATGGTGAAATCTGCTGTGCAGAATTCAAGAGATAGTGGGAGCGAGAGAGAGGAATGGAGGGAGGAAGAGGGGAATTGCACAGGTAGGCTTCAAAAGAAGAGATTCTTTCCTCAAATGTCCCACTTTCTCTCTGTTCCCCACAACTCTCCATATCTCCTCTGACTCTGCTCCGCACACTGTTCAGCAAACATCCTTTTTAAAAAAGCTCATCTCTCCATACACCCCCCCCAATTAATTCCTGTCCCCAAAGCAGTACTATCCCCCCCACCCCCCAAGGTAGCAACTCTGCCTTCAGACCTCCCTGCCCAACGTCCCCCTTCTCCAGGGCTTCCTACTGGCCCTGGCCCGCGTGGTGACCTTGACCCTGGCTTTGCTGCCCGGCCAGTGCATCCTCCCCTCCTTCCCCCCCAGCTCACCCTCCGCGCCCGCCTCCCAGTCTTGTTGACGCTTCTCCCTCTCCTCTTGCCCCATCCCATTCCTGGGGGCTCTGGATGGAGGCCGCCGCTCCCGCTCCTCCCCCTTCCTCGAGCCCTCTGAGACCTCCTTTGGGGGTGGGGAGGCAAAGAAGGGGGTGGTGATGGGCGGGCGAGGCGCGAACGCGGACCTAGGAGCCTGACGTCACCGCACCCCGCCTGTCAATCTCCGACCGGCGCGCTGCTCGTAACCGCCTTTTCTGCCGCGGACTGTGTCCCTCACTCCCGGCGCCTCTGCACAACCGCTGGAGCCGGGCGCTCCTCTCCGGCTCCGGCTTCGCCAGCGTCGGCTGTCCGCGCCGGGACGCAGCCTGGCGCCCCAGCCCAGCGCTCATGGTCACAGGCTTTCTGAAGCCCTGACTCCCCAGGTGAGCAGCCGGGCTCCCTAGAGGAACTTTGAGGGTGTGGAGAGGGGAAGGGGTGAAGGCTGGCCAGGGGAGGAGTCCTCAAATCCGGATAAATGGAGTCAAGCTCGACCCTCATCCTTCCCCTACATATGCACCCCAACTTCTCTTCCCCCAAGCCTCTCTCCGAGAGGTCCCTTGCTTCCAGCCCCTCTGCGCTCTGCGCGCGGAGACTTAGCTTTCAGCACCGCGGACAGCGGCCCCGCGGCTCACTCGGGCGATCGCCGGCCCCCGCCGGCCCGAGCCCCAGCGGCTCGCCCAGGCCCACACCTTTAGCCGGTGCAGGCCGATGCGCTGCAGGAGCAGTCACCCCTAGGGATTAACCTGTGTGCATGTGACTGCGTGTTATCCGTGTGTGTATCTATGCAAAAGCTCAGCTACCCGTGGGAGCACCCGTGTGCATTTCACTCTCTCATTCAACAGGTATTATTCTTTGGCTCACTTGTCACTGCTTCCTCGCTCTGTTACGGGGTCGGGTGGGATGGGCAACATGAGCGGGACACCCGCTCCGGGAAGTGCCCCGGCAGCTGGAACCGCACACCTGACGCTTGCTGCCCCTCTCCACACAGGGTGCAGCGTCCGGCCGCTATGAACGCGAGCACCTCTGCGCTCAACGAGTCCCAGGTAGTGACAGCGGTGGCCGAGGGAGCGGCGGCGGCGGCCACGGCGGCAGGAGCGCGGGACCCCGGGGAATGGGGGCATCCGGCGGCGGCGGCGGCGCTGGGAGGCGGGGGCGCG